ATGGAATTCTAGAGGGGAGATAAATCCTTTGTTATTTTACATATTCTTAATCGCAGATCAGCATTCAAATATCGACATATGGCTTAAACAAAATCAATCTCAATTGGAAACAAAGAATATCAATAATGTCAAAAAGAAATGGGCCTATTTGGAGAAATAATCCATAAAGAGTAAATTTCAAGATACTATATTTAGTGTAAAAATAATTTCCTTTTCCATAAAAAAAGAGAATTCATCAAAAGATTAAATAATTACTAGTTGAGCATTGTTATTACAAGTTATTGTATCCGAAAATTCTAGGACCAGATATACATTTGAAATTTTGGAATAAGTTAAAATTCGATCAGGATTGTAAAAATGAATATACTTTTTTAGTTTATTAATAATGTTTATAAACTTTTGAATTTGAGAAGTGTTATAAATAATTAAATTATACCTTTGATCAAAATACCTATTACACAACACATAAATCTAGAGTGTTCTACTAATATTATTAGTAATTCTTATTCAATTATCTAATTCACTGGAAATAAATTAATTGGATAATTTTTCATGTAAGTTATGCAATATGTATCACCAGATATCAGGGTCTCCTTACCTTGAAAATTTGAATTTTTAACATAACGATTATTTTACTTGAGTTTATTATTATCCAAAGGATAGTTTTTTGGAAAATTTATGCAATTTCTAAAAAAACTTGATATTACTAGTTGTAATTTGGTTAGATTTAATCTATCAGTGCTTATTGAATACGATGATTCTAATCTATCAAATTTTTTAAATTTTCCTCTATTTAATTTTGGATCTACTAGACTTTTAAGAAAATTAAATCTGTAACAAAAATGCATTTCATGCCATTATAATTAATTATTTTATGCTCAAGGTCGATAGATGACTCGATGGGATCTCTAAGTCATTCTACTTAAATAACTGTGACAATTATTTGATCTCACTTTTATATTAATCAATATTTTCAAAATAATTGTTTTAATGATTAAGTAGTTTTTTATGAATATTATTTTACGAATTCCTTGAGCTAGTGTAATATAAAAGAAGGCAGGCCGAAATTGATCTTCAAAATCACTAGTAAAATATTTTTCAATAATTCAATTTTTCTTTTTTACACTAAAGGATTATATCAAAAATATAATTTTGCTTTTACTAATAATCGCTAAATGAGTTTTAAACCAAACCCATTATCATTTCAACTTTTTTAAATACAATTATAATGATATTCAGCAAAAATTTCGCATTTGTAATATTTTTCAACATCTAAGTTAGAAATACAAATTTGGTTATTAGATTAATAGTTAAAAAAATATAATTGATGTTCTGTTTAATGGATTATTTATAAGCTTGATAATTGAATTTTAGTCCTACAAAAACTGCATTCTTTTGATCCTAAATAATTGTAAAGAATGAAAAAAGCAGATAATTCACATTTATTTTGAGTAATAAGCAGGAATCATATAAATCAAACTCTTATTGACACAAACTTTATATTTATTTCAAAATCAATATTCAATAAAAAAAAAGTAGCCTTCCATATTTGTCTTCTAGGATTATAATAATTTTAATCAATTTTCTAACTCAAATTAGAATAAAAAAATAGTACAGAAAATAAAAATGAAAGTTTGATTGGAAGAGAGAAGGGATAATTTAAAAAGAAGGAATTAAAGCTCTTTTCCTATAGTTATAAGAATGATAATAATTGAATAATTGGTTTATCAAATTCATTAATTCAGAAAAAAAACCACCAAATTTTATTTCATAAAATTATTACAATTATTGGAATTAAATAAAATAGATAAAGCTATATTTTTTCATTAAAAAATAGAATCAAAAAACATTTCAAATAAATAGTTATTTGAGTTATTTCAATACCAGAAACTTTTTCAGTAGAGATCAAGATAAATGATACCATTAATTTAAAATCACAAAAGGAAATTTCAGAATCATTTTCTGAGTGCTCTTAAGTGAAAGCCTTTTATCAGGAAAATTATTTTTCACTACAAAAAAACTGTTCAGATGGGTTTCTGTCATAACATAAAAAATACAAATATGTAGAGATTATTAGAATTAAATTTAATATTTTAATCAGAGTATACATTTACATTAATCCCTCATAGCAGATGCCGTGTAATTTAAAAATTAATTCTATCAATGATTATGAAGAAAATTTAAAACATATGATTTACAATTTCGAAAAAACCCCAAAAAAATTCATATTACTATTATAGCAAAGTTATAACTGTAATTTACTTACAAAATAACAATAACTTCAATTTTGATAAATATTGTTTTTGAATTTAATGAAAATGAATATATTCGGAATGCTTAGAACAAAGTAACTTAAATAATAATTATTATAATTGTGAAGGTATAAATATCATGTGATTATTTAATAGTAAATACCATAGTAATATTCTCTTAATTACTAATTATATTTAAATGAATAGATTTAAGATTATTAGAATACTTTAATTTCGCACTTTAGAAAGTCCATATCTTTTAGACTATTTTAACTGTAAAGGAACAACAATTTTCTATATCTGAACATCAAAAATTTATTTCAAGAATATTTTAGATAAATATGTCTTGATTATATTAAAATCAGGATAGATTTAAAGATGCTTAATAATTTTGAATCAAATTCAAACAAAAAGTATCCAATTACTTTATTTAATTTTATAGCATAATCTTAGACTTCGTCCTTTTTTTATAATTAGAATGTATCATTTGATGCTGCTGAATAATAAATACTACTGGGATTAAAATCGTTTTTACTATTTTTTCATAGTTACACTATTAGTTAAGAGATTAATTATGTAATATTTTTATGGCAAAGGGTTTATGAGAAAATAATATCTCAAGATTATCAATAGTTATCATTTATATTGTTAAAATGGTTATAGGATATTCATTTAATTCAATATATAGAAAAATATAAGTAGAAATTAAAAAGGTTATAATCCGAAGAGATATAGATGGTGGATTCTTTTGTTTGGTATTCCATGTTGAGAAGATTCTTAAGTGGATCTGCAACAGCCAAAAATTTAACTGGATTAGTCAGTAATTATGTTGATAGTTTACAAATGGATATCATTCTGATAGATCTGATGTTGTGATTCGAAATGCTATTTCTTTTCGATTATATTTAATGATATCGCTCCCTTTCAAAAACAGAAATTAAATCACCATCAAAGGCTAAAAAAGTCATCATTTCTTATTTTACATGAAAAATGAACTAAAGATTTAATGTTTGTGTCGTTATTTAAAAATTAATTGCTTTAGCCTGAAAATTCAGCTTGCCATATGAAGTGACAAACTTTACGTGTGCATAAATAGATTCTACTCACTATCAAAATAAACAAAGTTTGACATATTCAATTTTTAAAAATAAATTTTAACAATAAACAAAAGCATATATTTATTTCTCAAGTCCAGGGTCGAAAGAAAAGCAATAAATATAATCAACTGAGTTCAAATTTAGAGGTTACCCCTTTTTTACATAAGTATAATTTGATGTTAGCTACTTTTAAAGTTATTCTACAGAATCTGGAGCCAATTTTTTTAAGTTTCTTTTTCTAAGAAATACCTAATAATTTTGTTACATTTAGGTTTGACATTATTTAATTAAGAATATGTCTTCTTTGATTGCTTTGTTATGAAATATAAAAGACTATCTTAAAGTTGGTAATCTGAAATCCCAAATGAAATACTTACTGTAAAGTTTTAATTTAATATTTTATATTGTTAGGTGTAAATGGAAACTTAGCCATAATTAAAATAATTTTCTTATGAGCTTTAGCCTTCAAATTAGATCAAAAAAAATATAAATTGCCAGGCAATAGCAATAAATAAGCAAAACAAATTTGTAATAGTTACTTCTGATTCAAAAATTTTAGTGATATTCTTTAAGAATGGACAGCTCAAAAAGTTGGCTACAATAATAAAGCATAAGAAAGACGTTTCAACTCTAAATTTCTTTAATTATAATTCAAATTTTGTGTCAGGGTCATAGTCGGTGATAATTTGGCCACTTTCCCTAATTTCAAATCAAAAATACATATAGAAAATTTCAGGCCATGCTAAAATGATCTAATGCTTAGCTCTTCATCCTAGTGAGTTTCTTATTGTTAGTGGTTCATCTGACGCCACAATACAATTTTGGTTCAATTATGAACAACAGTTGAACAATTAAAAAATAACTGATCATAAAGATTCAGTATTTGGATTGGCAATAAATAAAGAAGGAAATAGAATAGTATCTTGTGGAAAGGATAAATTAATTTTGATAATTGAAAAAAGTAATAGCCATCATCCCTTTTGGTAAGTTCGATAAACTATAACATCTAATGAATTTGGATATCGAATTTGTTTTATTAACGATAATGCAATTGCTTTTCAGCCTATTTCTTATTATAAAGGGTATAATAATGGAACAGATCATTTGCACATTTATACTCCTGACGAAGATTAAATTTACACCAAGTCAAAAGAAATTATGGTGGCAGGAGGAGGATAAATATGCCACTACTATTTTCCATCCATTTATAATTCAAATAAAGAAATTTTATTAGTCAAAAATGGTTATATGGTAAGTTTATTAAGAATAAATGATCAATTCAAAGGGAAAAATTAATATATTTTTTTCAATTGTTTAAAATTCTATAAAGGTTTGATTATTGGAACTTTGAGTGAAGATGGAGAGTATTTTATCACATGGGATGCTAAGTCAAAAGAGATTCAAATAAGAAAATATCAGGAGACAGAATGATTTTTTTGTAATACATCATTATTTATTTAAACACTTTAAATGGGGGTTAGTAAGTCGATCTTAATTTGAGCATCTTAAATCAGTTTAAATAGATATCCTAGAGCCATTTCATGATTTAGCTTTCTTAAATTAATAAAACTTAATTAATGGAAATCATAAATAATTGTTAAAATCTTTAAAAATCTAAGGATTGATATAGGAATTATGTTATTTTTATTAAATATTCCTCAATTCACTTATTATTCGAATTTTTTCTTCTCAATTTATTAAGAAATTACTCAATTAATTTAAAGTTATATTGATAAATATTCTTCTTGTTGTTCCTTGATGTGTTAAATCATTTGATATGATTCAATTGTAATAAGCCATAAATTAATACATTTAATAAATGTTATGATTTTTTCTGCGAAATTGCTGTAAGATCTATTAAATTTAGTAAACACACTAAATTGAAATTGCTCCAAACTAAAAAAAGAATGGAGGAATATAAGAAAGCAGATGAGTACCTATTAATTGCTCCTTAATAAAAAGTTGTCTAATGATGATAAAAAGTTTTATATTAGGTAGAATTACACAATATTCAATAATCCTTTGAATGGATCATATTATGGGAAAAATTATTTCAATCTAACTCTAGAATTTGGATTTGTATTTAATTCTATTATTTAATTCATTTTGTTAAACTTTTTGTACAAAATTAATGAGCCATTAGCTAAATGTTGAAAAAAAGTTGAAGTGCTGAAATTGGAATTAGATAGGCTTTTTTCGAAGTTGTTTTGGCTTAAAAATAGGATTTGGTTTTAGAAAAAGTAATTGACTGAAATTCTTTGTTTTTTATAAAATGATGAAAATCAAAAATCTCAAAATATAGAGTATGAGCAGATCAAACTCATCAAAAAGAATCTTAAAAGAAATTTCCATTCTAACTCTATAATATTAAGATCAATAAGAACCAATAATTTATTATAAAACTTGTATCGGCCTTATAGACCTTTAATGAAATACTTAAATTGGGATAAATATATTAAAAACTTAATGATCGAATGATTTGTTATTGGGTTATTATTTATCCAACGTTCTGACTAAATTAATTATCCTTGCTCAAACAAATAATCCTAGTATACTCTAATGTTTAAAATCATTTAGTGCTGGTGATAATAATTGGTCAGCAATTTAGATAGCACAGTATTAAAGAATAAGGCTAAATAAATTAGAAAAACAAGGAACAATTTTTTCAGACATTTATTATGAATTCAAAAAGCTATGATTATATCAACATATTTCTCAAACTCTTGAATTTTAAGTTTCAATGAATCATTTACTTAATTAGAAGGTTTCAAATGAAAATCTGTTATTAAGTTTAATGGACTACTTCATCCTATTTTCAATAAATCGATAAAAGAATTGATTGCTAAATTAGAAAATAATTATGAAAAATATTTTTTTTTTTTAATTTTTTACTAACACAACGAATTTCTGAATTATTTTATTTATCAGTTTCAAATTTCTATTAGAGGATGAATGAATTTAATGTTTTATTTTATTTGTTCACCCTAACAAGAACTAAATTCTCCGTTTAATTGCAAGTGATTTAATTTTTATTCCTAACCAAAAAGACATTACCTTTACTTACAAATATACTTTTTCTTATAAAAAAATTCTAAATTATTAATAGGTAACTTTAGATTAAAATTTTTCGATATTATATTTTTCTGATAAATTATTAGAACGGTATTAATGCACAATGAAATTTATTTTTTAATTAAATGTTCAAGATAAAAAAAGTCAAAAAACAATTATTATAAAAAAATAAATTAATAAAAATTCATCAACCCGAAGACTTGAACTCGGAATACTGCGACCATAGGGCAGCGTTATACCTCTTAACTACTTGATGAGACTTTATATAAAAATTCAAAAATTTTTTATATACAGTATATTTTTAAGCAGGAAATATATTTGACACAAGATAAGAGTATAAGGTAAATTTATTATTTTATCATTAATATGCAATAATATATCATAAATAACAATTTCTTGTATTTTATGTCAGAGGGAACTCTTCATATATTTCCTTTATCATTTATGGATTAAATCATTTAAATTTGTTAAACTTTTGCAAAAGAGCTAAAATTGAAGCCTTTAAGTTCAAAATATCTTGTTTAGAATTAAAATCTTATTAGATTTCTATCTTTGCAAATAAAAGGCCTATTAGAATACTTGTTTAGAATCATATTTCTGTAAATAAATCAACCATATTCTTGAAAAGATTCATTTATCTACCTAAGTGAGGAGCTTAATTAATTATAATTTTTTCATAGAAGGGTAGGAAGAATTTTAGACTGATTTATATAATCAACAAAACGAATTACAAATTGCTCAAAGTACGATAATCAAATGCAGTAATTTCAACATAACTAATTCGATTAGCAACCACAAGATTCTCTTTCTAATTGAACATTTGTAAAGTTAAACCAAGCAAAAATCTAACAGTTGAAGACATTAATAGCAATAACAGAAGCTATATCCTGTTAACGCTTGATGAATTAAAGTTCAAAGAGAATTAAATAAGAAAAGACAAAAAAAAGAAATAATTCGGATTCATCATCATATTGAATTCTTTATATAAACTTTCAGGAACTTAAATCTATGAATTCTTCAACATAATTTATAGTATCTATTATATTAAAATCTAATAAAATTCATTTCAAAAAACCATCAGCAATTTTTCAAAAACTTATTATTAAATTTAAATAAGAAAATAATTATTAAATTAAAACATCATACATAATTACTTCAAATAGATGTGATGTTATATTTCATAAATATAATAAAAATTAATGAATATATCATAATGAAAATTAAATTATTGTTCTAATTAATGGATTATATGTAAATGAACTTCAATAAAAAATTCTTTATAACATATCATTTTTTATGTTTTTTCTACGCTTTTTATAAAAATAAGCACAATGTAAGTTCTGTTATAATTATAATCAATTACTAAAACAAATTTTTTATTGGTAATATTTAATTTTCTTTTGAGATAAAACTTTAATAAGTTAAGTTTAATTGATTTACTTAATTCTTGAGCAATAAATTTACTTATTAATCATCACAAGTCTCTAAACATGGTATGTAGTAGTTGTGAAGTTAGAATAATTTAACCTCACAATTAGAGTTGCATCTAAAGGCAGTAAAATAGGTATCATTGTATTATTCAATATTATCAACTTATAATTCTAGTTGTTGATGGCTATCTATAATAAACTTATTCTATTAATCAATGTTATAAATTGATTTTATGATCCCTTCATTTTAGAAACTTAAAATAATAAACTTTGGACTCACAAATTCAATTCTTCTTAGATTTTAGTCTTTTTCATATCTTAAAATATGCAAAATCTTTGACTCAAAAAAATTAAATTTAAGATCAAATTAGAATTGTATATAATAGCAATTTAAGTTTACTTAGCAAGCTAATATATCAAATTTGAAATTATTATTCTCATAAACAAATTCTGAATCTGATATTCTTACTAATAAATTTATTACATCACTAAATATAATTTTATTAAGTAAAATATTTGATTATGCTATGATATCAAACTCATTCGATAAAAACAAGAAATTCAATATGCTTCTATTTGGATGTTAGCTATGTGCTATGAAGTATAAATTTGGAATTCTGCGAATAGATATAAAATAAAATTCATTTTACCCATTTATCCTAAATTATTGGAGATTATAATTCTAAATAACAAATAATTATTTAGTTTGCTGTTTATTTGTATCAAACAACATGAAATTTCCTATCGCCTAAATTGAATTTACACTATTCCAATCCAATTATAATTGCGATTGGATTAAACCTTAATCGATTAATTTTCCTTCTAAATTGTAAGTTTGTTTTTCTAAAACCAATTTTTCATCTATTGTATATAGAAAGATATTAAATTGAGTTTTAAGTATTGTAATAATATTAATAATTTTATTTGCATCAAATTGTAAACTTATTCTTAAATCAAAAGAATTTAGAATAATTCTGTTATTCTATAAAATACAAGTTTTCTATGTGAAAAGTGAGCATATTTATACCTCTTTAAGGGTGAGAGAGGTTAAATTAGAATATGTACTTCCATTAAGATATGTGGCAGAAATTATTTTTCCAAATACATCATTTAATGGCAGTATTTTGGTTGAATTATAGATTAAGTAGTTCAGTGAATTATTCATTAAATGTTATAACCTTTAATTACAGTTTAAGAAGACTAAATTTAAAGCAATTGAATTATTATTCCCCTCATACTTGCTCTCAAATGTGAGGATAATTTCAGTGGTGTAAAAATAAGAATTCAAATTTTATTTAAACAAATTAGGTTTGAATAGTATTTTAATTATGCCTAAAAAATAGATTCTTAATTCATTTTTATATACATAAAGAAATTTTTCAGTTGAAATAAAGTTGGAAATGTGGCATTTTTCGTCTACTTAGATAATTGAAATCATTGAGTTTAAGGCTTTTTTCGACAAATCATATACTAAAATAAATTATTCTTTCTATTCATTATGAGCAAAGATTGCAATCATTGTATAAAATATTTGATATTTTAATGGTTAATCTATGATATATGAATAGGTTGGAAATGTATATAAATACTAATAGTAATTATTTTATTCTTGATATTGTTTCATTAAAAGAGTATTATCAACTAATTCAAAAATGATAAGTTTTTTATTATATATAAATAATTGCAATCTAATAATTTTATGCGCTCTTATACTTTAAGTATAAGTATTCTTTCTATAAAAATCAATTTATGATGGTTAAATTTTAACAATTAAAGCATTTTCTTAAGAAAATGTTGTACAATTTAAATATTACGTTTAATAATTTTCATTAAAACTAAAACTTACGAATTCAACGATCATAGTCATACAGTTCTCAAAATAGATATATAATAAATCCATTTGTTGCACTAAATAATTAATTTTCTTTTATAAATTAATCTCAAAGGCTTTAAATTTGGTATCAATATATGAATAACAGTATAGAGTTTATTTTTCATACACTATAAATGCGCTCTACAATGTACTAATGAAAATTTAGGATAAATCAAGATTAAATCTATATTAATGTTTTAAATAGATATCATTGGTTTCATCGGAAATTGTAAAGGTCTGATTTATGTTAAAGATTATTTTAACGATGGATTTACTATATTTCTAAATTAAAATAACTGTATTTTTAGTGATTTTAGAAGATATCAATTCTGAATGTTAAATGTCTGACATAACACTATTCTTGTCAACAAAATGAGTTACTTAACTTGGATATCCAATAACTTTATTTTTATAATTATAAATAGCTTAGGAATGAATAGAATCTAAAATCGTAAAGTTAGTTGAATTTTGATCTAATAGAATTGAAGCATTTTTTGGTAATAAGTTAACTTTGTATATAGTTGCCTATTCGTGAATAATCATATCAATGCAAAAAAATACCATTAAGTAGGTCGATTGCTAATATTTCAAATAGAATGGTAAACTATTAATTTTAATAAATTAAAGCTGCCCTTATTTTTAAGACAACAAAATAAATGGCAAATTATTAAAATAGACAACTTAACTTGATCCTAATTGTAAAATATCATAAACTAATTCATTATTTACAATATATAACTATGATGAAAATTGTATTATTATGTTTTCGTTGATAGATCTCACTTACTCTATTTTTGAAAGTTACGAATTGATTCGTAACTCTTTATAGTTTATTTCGAATGTCTTCTCCATGCTATCATGTAAATAAATTTTCATTTCTGAATTCAATTCGGAGGATTCTACTATTTAAAAGTATTAAACAGCATGATTTTTTAAAATAAATTAAGTTGTAATAGTATAATCCATGAGGTTTATCTGCAAGATCATGTATGAATAATAAATTATTAAATTATTGCTTTGATAAAATTAGACATTATTTATCTTGCTAATTATCTTGGAATCCATATAATCCTAACCATTCAAAACTAATTATTATAATTAGAGATAGCTCTAATCAGTAGACCATGTAATCACAAATAAAGCACATAATGAATCTAATGTTTCATAGATTATGAGATATTTGTCTTTAAAAATGGAATGCTATGTTTAATTGTAGATAGGTTAGATAAGTAATGAATCTAAGATTTCACTTTAATCATTAATCATTGAAATCATCAATGCTTGCGAAGTTTTACATTATACAATAAATTTATTAATCTAAATATTATTTAATTATTCGCACATGTTATTTTGAGTTAAAAGAGTATATTGATAAGATTCAAAAATTAAAAGTTCTTCATCTATGAGTTAATTCATTATTCTATATTTACAATAGATCGAACCAAGTTTCGAAAAACATATATCAATAGCAGAGTTATCATATTATAATGATGTAAAAACCTTAACAAAATCTTATGGTATTGGTAAATTCCTATCTAAACTTGATAATATTTTTGATAGGGTTTTGGCATTACTTAATAATTGTTAACTGTTTGAAAATTCATTTTCAACAATTTCAGTGTCATTCGTTGGAATTATAAGTGCTTGCCTTTGTAAAAAAACATATTCATCTTCTAACAAATATAATTGTTATATCCTTGTAAATACTGTCATTATCTAAAGTTAAATTACAAAACCTAATCGAAACATGAGATAATTTAATTAATCAATTATTTGAAATACAAAATTCATATTCACTTGAGTTAATATTTGGTAGATGCAATAAAAGAATATGAGTTCATTTTGCTATGATGAAAAACAGTTAATTAGCCTATTATATCAAAATAAAATACTGATTATTGACGAAAATTTCAATTTCCTTTTGTATGTAAATTTCACTAATGCATCTGAAATTTCTTAAACCATTTAAATTGTAAAGAAACTAATATATGAAATATAGGATTATAATTATGAATGATTAGAAAAACAAAAATTTGAATTCTATTTTAATTCTTTAATGATATCTTCTCATAATCACTCATTCCTTTCAGCTATCACAAATATCTCTCTAACATTCATTATCTCTGGGACTCTCTTCTTCTTTTGTTTCAAATAAAATGTTTTAGCTTTAAGATAAAATTAATACCCACACCTCACCAAGGGAGAAAATAAAGCTAATATCAAAAAACTAATTTATATAAATCCAGCATTTATTTATTGATCAGTTGAAAAATACTTTTAAAAGTCAGAACAATAAATCAAACATGATAATGTAAAGAACATTACTGGTCCTTCCATCCAAATTATGATCAATAAATCAAGCTTATTTGCTGTGAAATCAGTACTAATTATTGATCCAAGATACCAAAATAATACGCAGGTTAATAGTATACATTGCATGAGAGGGTAGCTTTGCATAGCAATTAGTACTACTAAAAAAAAGAGTTTTTTCAACAAAATAATGTCATCATGTTATTTGATTCTTTCATTTTTTAATATAATTTAATGATTATATCTTCTGAAATTTTTGCTTATAATTACTACTACTGATAAAAGGTATGAAATTGAAATAATAGTTGAAACTATTCCTCTGAATCTTAGCTAATAACTAGCAGTTAAATACATCAAAATTTTAAATAATAGATCCCAACTATTAGCATGGAATAATTGAATTAAACCTTACTCATTAAATATCTCATCTATTTTACAAATAGTCTTATTCAGGTAATAAAATTTAATACCGATATATTGAATTATTTTATTATTAAGGAGTCTAATATAGTAGATATATTTGGAGCCAAAACAATATGAATAGATAATTTTTTTATAGTATTTGATAACAATATACAATCCACTTAGGAAAAGTATTTAAATAATCTATCCATAAATATTGACTAAAAAATCTGCGTTTAATTGATATTCAAAAAGCTTACCAATACTTTCTAAATATTCATATCCAATTAATTACTATAAAAAATCATCCACTTATAACTTCACCAATACAGGATTAATAGTTACAAATTCTGAAGACTCAAAATATATTTATAGATTTTATGGAAATTCGACATTTAAGAATTTCAGATATGATTAAAATTATAAAGTATCTAAAATTTCCATACATTAACTAGGGTTTCCAAATAAGAACAAAAAGAGACTACTACTAGCTAATCCAATCATCATCCAATTTCCTAGGGCTTAAAAATTACTGGCAGTTTACAATTAATTTTTGTTCAAGACTTTTGGCAATTATAAATTGATAATTTAGAGTGATGTATTGACCTTCATTTGGTTTTGGTCTTCTAAATTAGCATAAACTTCTACAGTTAAGAAAATATTTGTTGTTGCAAAGGATTCCAAAAATTCAATTTAAAATTCATAGATAACATCAAGTAGAATAGTCTAATCAATCTCAACTACAGGAATTATAGTAATATTATATATGCTTTGTTCAATTGAGGGAATAGATGGTCTAATTTAATCAGTAAAATTTAAAATAGTTTCATTTAATTTAACTTTATTTGTAAAGGATAATTAAATGTATTAATTTTATTAAGTTTGATTAAGGTATTACAATTTTATAATAGTATTAGGAGTACAAATGCTAATCTAATTGAGTTAGTTATTACAAAACCAATTAATTTCAATCTGACATAAGCTAGAACAACCATCGCCATCAATTTTATTCCCATCATCACATTCTTCATTATTAGTATACATTGCATTAGCACATTAAGTTTATTCATCTTCATCCTTATCATCATCGATGAATGTTTAATTATTAACTTCGCAATAATTCTTTGCAATTATGTACCCATCTATGCACTATACACAGGTTCCTTAACCACAAATTTCGCATTCTTTTTCACACTAAAAAATACAATTAAAGCAACCATCATAAGGAATATTGTTTCCATCTTCACATTCCTCTAATCCATCTACAATATTATCATCTCCACATATTGGTCTACAAGAATTGTTAGATAATTCAAAGTATTTTTCACAAACCAGACAAGTATCCCTATCAGCACAGGATCTGCAATAAGGTACACACTCAAATTTACATTAATAACATCCATCTCCTTAATCATAATTTCCATCATCACATTGTTCCATAGAAGATTGAGCAACTTAACCATCTCCACAATATTAATAGCAGCCATAATCTATAAGCTGCCAACCATTAAGACACTAATAACATTTGTTTTCAACACAATTTACGCATTCCAACAAGCAACTTTCTTAGCATTTGTAGCATCCATCAAATTAGATATTGTTCTAGTCATCACATACTTCTTTTTCTATTAAAAGTCCATCATTACATAAAGGAATGCATGATAATTAATTAAATTCCAATACATAATTTTCATTACATTATAGACATTTATCATAAAGACTTTCCTTGCAATTATTTATAGCCGCTATTCTGCATTAATTATAAAAATATCCAAATATTCCAAAATCTTATATGCTGCATGTTAGAGTATTTGTCAATTGATATTTAGAATTTTAATTATTAAAGAGATTATGTTAGTAATGACCATTCTCAATCAAATTAGTTATTCTATTATAACAACTTATATATTCTTAATCTTCCTAACTCTCAGAACCATCACAAATATATTTACATTATCCATATATTAGTTCGTACTTTGGTAAACATTATTTGCATTTTCCAAATTAACATTCGCTGCAATTCAATGGACATGAATATTTACACAGGTGACAACCATCATGCTCTACTTTATTACCATCATCACACTCCTCATCACATGTGGTAATCAAATCTCCACATTTCTTTTAACTAACTAATTTTTTCTTTTCATTCATCTTATATTAGGAATCACAACTTAAAAATAATAACTCCAACTCATTTACATACTCATGGCATTCTAATGAATCATACAAATTTTAACACTAAATGTGATTTAGATCGGTCTATGTAATTGGTAGGTTGAATTTCAAATTCTTACTTTAAGTACTATTCTCAAGATCTTAGTATGAAGTTTTCCATTTCAAGCAATTACCAAATTAACACAATATACAATCTTACTAACAGGAGTGTTTACATTAATAACACCCATCATATGGATATGTGTTACCGTCATCACATTCTTCAAAATAAGTAATGATAGAATCTCCGCATATTGGTAAACAATTCTTAGTTTATTCATAATACTGCCATCCTTCTTAACATTCAAAACATGCACCTCTTACACAATTTGCACAACCTTCAACACATTCATATATCTCAGCAAAACATCCATCAAAAGGATAGATATTATAATCATAGCAATAATCGTCATTTAAAATTGGTCTTATAAATAATTAAAAATCTCTAATTCCAAAATATCTAGAATAACCTGAATTATAATAAGACTAATCTTTCAATTAAATTTTTAAAGCAATTGAATTATGTTTATGCGGAAATTAATAGATATAAATCTAACTTATGATTAAATACTAATAGTCAGAATTACTATAATATAGTACTTACTGATTAAGATTTGAAACAACTACTAACTAATCATCAATTAATATGCTAAATTTGTGATATATATTTATTGTTATTATTTTCAGGGATACACTAACTGCATTATGAGTCGCTAGATCTATTGTTTTAGTTGAAGACAATGATACAAATTAATGATTTGTGTAATCTAGTATAAATTGTTAAAATACCTGCACTATTAAAAAAATAATTATACAAATAATAATCACTAGATAGCCATCCTTCATTAAAATCAACTTAGGTGAAGGATTTAGTGATAAAAAATTAAACATATAATATTTAATTAAAGCATCCATTCTAATCACAAGAATCACAACCATCAGGACATTTTTCTATGAATAATTAAAATTCTGAAATTCCCCACCATTCTTCACCCCATATTAATATTGTGGCAGTTGGGCTTTAATGATAAGTATTTAAATCCAGTAGAAAAGTATCGTCATTAATATTTGAGTCTCCGCAAAGATTAAATGAACTTGAGGAGCTATAATATATTTAATTATGCTTTTCAATATTATCTACATAAACTACAAATCGATCTCCATTCCACTAGTCAATTCTATAAATATATCATAATAATGAACCTCCAGAATCTAAATTTTATTCTTAGTTTATAATGTGGTTGGAGCATAAATGTTTTTAATATGAATGAATGATAGTGAACACAGTTATAACCTCCAAAAATTCTATTAGAATCGCAAAATGAGTCTATACAATGGTAGCTGAAAAAATACCAATCTAAATGTTATTTCTAAAATATACCTGGAGTGGTGGTTTGTGCATATATAATGGTTTCTAATTAGCACCTTGTTATCAAATGCAAAAAAAATAGGCTTTTTAAAATATTCATCAGGCCAAGAGAAAATTTGTTCACTATTTATAATAATATAGCAACACAATTTATTTTTGGTATTTTGAAAGGAAATAACAACCTTGATTACAATTTTCACTCCTGTCTTCAAGTAGATTTTGATAGATCTAAGATCAACAATTACTTTAACCCTATATTTAACTGAAGAACTGTTAATAACCAGAAATTTTTTACCATAAACTTAAATATTAAATATAAATCTTCAACATAATAATAATGAATTGGTTATCTAAACTATAATCCTAATTATGTATACAGAATAAAATACTCCTTCATTAAGAATTATATAAAATTTTGTGAGATGCTTTTTTCTAAAGAAAATTAATTAACAAATATTGCTAAATAAAAGATGGAATGTTATTCTGATTCTAGAAATAGAATGAATTTATTTTGTAAATTTAATATTAATATTTCTTTTGATCTAAGTTATTAAAAATTATATGGTAATCGATTATATTAATTAGATAGTATGATATACTAATTTCATCTAAAAATATTCGAAGTAAAATTAATATTAAGAGTATTTTCTATTTAATACTAATT